TCGAGAAAGTCAAACCCGTGGGTTACAACGAAAAACTTGTGAGTATACGGTAATCTTTTCAGTAATGGAACCTTTGAAAAATATTTTTGCGTCAGCAACGAACTGATCGTTGAAAAAATTTAACGGGGGCTGAGAAAAGAAACGGCACTCATCAAATTTTACCAATTCAAAATTCATTGCATTACGGTTTTTGTTTTGTTTTTAATTTCAGAAGTGGTTGGTGTAATGGTTTTCGGAATGGATTGTTGGTCAAAGAAATTCTTATGCTGGATTAAACTTAAGCGGATTACGGGAAAATTTTCATTCTTCAAAGTAGAGGACAAAAATGAGTCTTGATGTATAAAAACTTCTTTACAACGAACTTATCTTGTTAAAAGTTGATACTTTTGTCCCTTGATAATTGTACAGCGAGTCCACTGATGATCTGATACTCGGATGACAAATTTTGCACTGTACACTAAAATTTCGAAGACCTTATTCGTATTGCAATTACATTGGGACCCCGATATGCGGACGATTTGACTCAGGGACACTTGACATTTTGAAAAAATCTGCCCTGACATTCGGGCGATGTCTTGAGATGCGGACACTGACAGAATTTCTAGAAATATGAAAAAAATGCATACACCTTGAACGAATTCTGCTACTCTATTTATATAATCAAAATATAAAAATAAATATTTTAAATTCACTCGAATTCATAATCCAAAACAGGCTTATTTTGTGCCCCCTCGCCTATATGCACAGTCTTGTATAGGGAGACTTGTGCTTCTTTGCTTTCTGGGTTTTTTGCATATCAAAAAATCGGACTATTTTTAAAATCCTCTGAAAAGTTTTTCGGCTTTTTTTGCTTTCTACAGTTGAGGTATAATTTGCAATTTTTGGGGGACTTTTTTCAAATTTTTCATGAACAGGAGAATCAATTAAAGGTGTTCCCATTGAAGTCGGAAAACTTGATCCAGCATGCGGACGTTCTGACGTAGAGACGAAGTTCAAGCACCAATTACGTCTGCATCTCAGGGTGCCAATGTATTTTAGCACAGTACAGTACAGTAATTTACTTTTTTTTTTCGTATTCAAGGATGTATTTGGTGCACTGCAAGTGAGTGCAGTGAGCAGCGGATACTGCATCGGTTCCTGCAATTGGATCATCTCATCGTACAAAGAGAAAATCGTGTTCATGTCTGGTTCGTCAACTCTGACGACGCATCCGATGTCTTGCGATCAAGTGGGTCTCCGCAATGCCGACGCCCTCATCGTCACGGGTCTCACGCAAACCCCGTCAGTGAACCCGGACACGATGATTGGCGAATTTTGCACGTCAGTAGTGGCGACGTTGAAAGCCGGCGGGAACGTGTTGGTTCCGTGTTACCCATCTGGGGTCATTTACGATTTATTCGAGTGCGTGTCTGGGCATTTGGACACTACTGGGTTGAGTGGAGTGCCCCTGTACTTTATTTCCCCCGTGGCGGATTCCTCGTTGGCGTATTCGAATATTTTTGCCGAATGGTTGTCGACCGGGAAGCAGAATCGGGTTTACTTGCCGGATGAACCTTTCCCGCATGCGAATCTCGTCCGGGAAGGTCGGCTGAAATCATTCAGGTGAGTTATAGCCCATGTACGAAATGGGGACCAATCTAGTACTGACGTTTATTCCGGTGGGTTGCGTGAGCGCCAAATTCAGCGGTTGGGGATGGTGGGGAGGGAAATGAGACGAGAAAGTGCGCTTGATGAAAGTTTTTCTGAAGTACTGTACTGTACACTCCTTATAACGGCCAAGGTGAAGTGGGCTGGTATTCACGCTAGCCAATTCCGAGTTATCTTTGATGTGCTTTATGTTTGAAGGTCTTTTCCAGTCACATGCCAACTGTACTGTACTCTTTTTGTTTGTGTGCTCCTCCATCTTCGACGAGTTTACCTTGCAGTTTATTTTTTCAAAAGACAGCGATGGAGTTGAAATTGGAAACAAGAATGCGCTTTTTTCAAAAGGCGTCCATTCGATACGAAATTGAAAATACAGGTGGACTTTCACTCTCTACAACGAAATTCAAGGGACCAGAGAAGAATTTGTTGTAGAGAGAATTTCAGCTATCCCCCAACTATTCTTCCGTTCATCGTCATAATGTTAAAATCTTCATTGAGTATTGCATTCCTTCTTTTGCGTGATTCATCGAGAAGTTCTCGATCGAAAATTTTTATCGAGCTCACGAAATGGGAGGTATACGAACAGCGACGGAAGTGTTGCAGAATTTCTTGAAAACCGTTGTTGGAATGGACCTTACGAAAATTTCAAAAAAACCTTCGATTATGCTCGGTTCTTGCAAAATTGTAGGACTGTGATGAAGCTGGAGAATTTCGATTATCGGAAAATCTAGCTTATTTTCCAGCTCGTCATTATATTCACCATGATTTACGGGAAAACGTTGTGAATGATGCTATTTTTCTGAAAATTGCAGCATTTTAATGTCGATGAATAATTGCTCTGAACACTCAACACTTGAATTTCGATGAATAATTGCTCTTAATGCTGGTCGTTGAACAGAGACGCTGGAAAAAGATTACTTTTTTGAAATGAGTGAACTAAAATGAGAAGTAGGTAATTTTTCGGAGTGGTTCCTCTCGCGTAATACCGTGTTGAATTTCTAGGCTCTAAAAACGATGTTCGTCACGAATGTTTCTTCCGTGAAAGGAAATAACGTTTACAAGAAAAATCAATTGGCCTTTTTTTACTGAGGCTGAGATAAATCGGGACAGAAATACGATATTCTGCTTCCATCAAAGTACTGATCGTTATCCTCGCGATCTCTCAAGAACAATTTGGCAAGAAAATGAAAAATAATAATTACCCTGTGGTATGTATCGAGACAACGAAAAAGTTTCGCCTGTCTGCTTGTTTGTGGACCATTTAAAGGCGCGCATAACAACTTCCGTCTAAAATCCTCAACATTTTTTAAAAAGCGCATTCTTTCGCACGATTCTTTTTTTTTTTCTTCAAATGGACATGCTGGTCATACCTATACAAATGAAAGTGGGAAATTGAACGTCATTCCGAAGATAGTTTGACAGTCTTTAATTTTGCGCTTTTTTTTTTTATAGTATTCGTGGTCACGCCCTGCAAGTGTTAAAATATCGGCTTTTCTTCGCAAGAGTTGACCAAAATGTTGACGGATTATAGTAATCTTTTTCTGCGTGAGCGTATTTATCCGAAAAGTCTGTTATCAAGAGTGAAGTAAATTTTATGAAATGGCCAACACAAAAAAAAATCTTTTTTTACCTGGGCTTGTCGTTTTTTCATGTGAGTAAAAATTATCATGCACCACTCAAGGCAATGTCCACGTGTCGGAAGACATTATTTCTTGAAAAGTAAAACAAATGTACAACTATCGTATTTCTAGCTGATTCGATTAAATTCTAACCGTTTTTAGCCCCATGAAAACCAAGGTTCTATGTGGTCTAATCTAGAAACCGTATGTTGAATGTCTCATGAAGAAGACGGTGCTGTAGTTGTATTTTTCTGAAGTATTGAGATCAGTGGTAACAATAAAAAATAAGGTGCGCCCCAATCAACCAAAAAGCTTTAAATATTTTTTATTTTCATAGTTCAGCGAATCAAAGTTGACCTTGATTTTCCGTTTCAAGGCTGATGGTTTTGCTGTAAGCTTTTTATACGAAGCATGGTATGTTATGCGAAGTATCATTTGACCGGGATATATCGCTGTAAGGATACATTTTGTTATGGAGGAACTGCATGTGTCATTATAAAAAAAATTTTGGATTCGTCAAGGAGATGGTTCTAGAGAGAGAGTCGGATTTCACAGTATAATTTCGTTCAAAATTTTAGAAATGATTCTGCCTCCCATCAGCCAATCCGTAGAACCAGAAAACAGCATGCCTGTTGACGTTCCGCTTTGCTGAATGAACATGGACCTGCGCTGATGACCATGTTTCAAAAACGTGTTTTTGGCAGTTTCCTACGAATTATGCACGGAATGTGGCATGTTATTATTTTTTTGCATCAACGTCGTGATGTTTTTCTCTCGTGTCTGTAGGTACGTGCATGACGAGAAGCTGATCGAGGACTATCGGGAACCGTGTATTGTTTTCTGCGGTCATCCGTCGTTGCGTTTCGGAGCTGCGGTGCATTTCACGCTACTGTGGGGGTCGAATCCCGCGAATGCCATTGTGTTTACAGGTTGGACTGTGTGTGTGTGTGTTTTTTTAAATTTAGTATTATTTTAGCGCCTTTAAAACAACTCGATACTCCCTCTGTCGATTTCTTTTTGCTAGTCCCGCTCTGAAATTTCCTTAGAAACGATTCATTAAAATCCTCCTTAATTCGGAGGCTGTTCCCTCGTCAAACCTCTAGAACTCGAAGTGTTTGTTGGCCTTTTGGCTATTATTTTATCGAATAAAAATGTAACTTGATGGGGTTTGAAAGGAAGTGAACAATTGATTGGGCAAATGAACCCTTGCCTTCAAGTTCACCATCCTGTCAACTCATTTAAGAAGTAATTTAAAGCATAGAATATTACCAGTCACATTTTCCTGACATGGGAACATACAGTATTTGATTTGTTTTCTCGTCGATCAAAAATCAAGGAAAATTCCCCCAAAAATGTTTCTCAACTTTAATAAGCAAAAAACCTCTTCAGAAGAGATCAACAAACAATCTGATTTTTTGCACCAAAAAAACCAGAAAGCAAAGAAGAACGAGTCTTGCCTGACTTGTGCACTGACAATGAGAAAACTTGAAAAAGCACAAGATATGCCTGTTGCAGATTTTAAGCTGCATTAAGAACATTCCAGATGCAAGAGACATCTGAGTGCTGAGGCAGTTACCCAGCCTCCAAGGGAATTTAATTTTAAAAGTACAAAACTACATTATGGCTGCAGAAAATGAGAGAAGCTGGAGCATCCTCACTCCTTGGATGTTAAAAGAGGACTCTATTATTGTCTCTGATCACAGGTGTCATGAAGACAGCAATCACACACAATCAGCAAATACAATCTCGCATTGTGCAATAAAAACTAGCTTTCAAAAAGAAATGAAATCAGCAAAGAAAAGATGCTTCACCCATGGCGCAATTCCCAACGCACAAACTTCCAAAGCAAATAACTGTGCGAATTTTACATTTAGAAAATTCCGCAACATCTTAAATTGAAGCTAAAGATGTTCTTGGACTTTTCTGTAATCACATAAAAATTGACCCAATTCACGAATCTTGAGATATTCTCATTTTTCTAAACCTAACTTTTCTACTACTTTTCTGGAAAACCTTCATGCCAGATTGTTATCTCACTGATGCACAAGCTTTTGGTGCAAACAGTGACTTCAGAAGCCTTGTTTCCAAGTGTAGATGAATGAATTTATTTCTGCAACATATGCCTTTTTTGGACTATGAATTATTGTAAATTCATTATAAAATTTCTTTTATATTTTGTGTGAACTATCGAGTCTTGGATCAACAGCGAACATTTTTTCGAGGAAGGGAATTTCCGTGAACTTGCTTTTATCACATGATGTATGTCTTGATTTTCTGCGCGCAGTTGAAAGAAAACAAAGGAGCTACAATGAAAAAAAAGGAATGCAATTATATTACTGGAAAATGAAAGATAACCATTTTTCCAAATGAGGACCTAATTGTTGTACTGCGTGCATTATTTGTGACGTGTAATTTCATTTGTTCGACGGCACTTGAGGATTAGGACGCAAATTCATGAAAATCTAGATGCAATTTACGATAAAAAATTATCTTATAACCGAAACGACGAAGAGCACCTGCAATTCCTTTTGTTAATTCCTTTTCAACATAGATTGACAAAATGTTAAAGAAAGGTTAGGAAATGATTTTTATATGCGGTCTTGAAGTGTGTTGTTATTGTTTCCTGGTGAAAGGAAATGGAATGCAGCACGGTACTGACGAAACTCAGTAACCCAAACCGTATTTGTTCCATCCGTGAGAAGCAATGCAATCACATCTGCAACATGCGCATAAAATCTCTGTTTGTACTGCGTATAATTCACTTTTCTGTGAGTTTCAAGCGTTGTATAATTCGTGACAGATAATTTCAGAAGTTTTCGTGCCGAGATCGTTTTTACGGAAGTTTCAGAGGCGAGCCATCTGCGGTTTAATTTTTTTTTCATTTATGACAAAAGAAAACGCCGGTTTCCGGTCTGTCTTTTTTTTTTCAAACTCGACGAGCGTGGAACCGACGATTATTAGACGTAATTTCGGTCTTGTTTTTCTCGTCCCTTTTTTTTTAAATATTGTTTTCGTTTATTTTTATTGAATTTTAGAATCGGATTTCGACCATGCCGAGGCCTTGTCGCCGTACCAGCCGTTGCGAGCGAAAGTTACGTTTTGTCCAATCGACACGTGTGTCAATTTTACTCAATGCAATTTGCTCATCAAGGACTTGAAGCCGGCGACGATCGTCGTGCCGCAGAAATACACTGTTCCGCCACCGAATATGCCTCAGCGCAGTGATCTGAAGCTTGATATTGTAAGGATTTTTTTTTGAATGTGATTGATTGTTTGTTGTGAAATTCTGATGATGTTTTACTTTGGGAGAATTTTGAAAGCTATGGATATTTCTGTTGCTTTAAAATGTCTCTGAATTCGGATGTCATCGTCAAAAAAAGAGTATCCGAGTTTCGTTGGATGGCCATTATTTTTAATACATGGCATTTGATAATTTCGTGATCAATATTTAAATTTGTGTTCAACCAGGTTTAATAAAACGAAGTCGATTTCGCATCGAGTCCCCCAGTGAGAAAATAAGGGATACCTGTCGAATTTTTCAATGTTTACGAAAAGTCTAAAATCTAACCCAAATTTCGAATGATTGAAAGTCATCTTTTTGGCAAGCGACATTTTCTCTGACCTGAAAGCGATTTTTCGATGAAACCCTAAGGTCAAACTATGGAGCAAGAGTTTGGCGTAATGAGGAGTCGGAGAATGTCCTTTGCAATTGAGAATAAATTGACTTTTAGTTTTTAGTTTTTTTTTATTGATCCCGCGGTGGTTCGGGGTGATCAAAACTTAGAGATATGCTTTGAAATTAACTTGAATCTCAAGGTCCACCAAAAACGAATGAGAATCCCTTCAATGTATTTTAGCATGCCGTAAAATTCGTTTTCAAAACTTCGGATGGAAACATCTTTGATGGATTTTATGGTTCAGCTCGACTAGAAATTATTCTAAAAATATGAATGTATCTCGTGAAGAGAAACTAGGCTTTTTTAAATGATTTATGCGAAGACCTTCGAAAATTCAATATCAGCATTTTCTTTTTCGAGTATTGTTGAGTTTGACAGTTCACGAAGGTAAAACGCAGATAACTGAAGATTGTGAAATAATTCGAAATTTTTGCGTGACGTGTATCAAGAACCGATTATTTACGACTGACAGCCCAGAAAAAGCACGGATTTTTTTAATATGAAGGAGAACAAAAGAAAAAACGTAAGAACCTGGTGTGATGTCAATTTTATTGCTAGTAAAGATAAATTGTGACCGAGCGAAGTATTGTAGAACAAATGATGGGTTTCTTTTGTAAACTTTTGGAGGACATACTTTGAGAATTATTGATGTTTTTCGTTAAAATTTGTGGTGCTTACTAGAAGCTATTTGTACAGTTGTAGATTTTAATTTCGCTGAATTCGGATCTGCTGTAGCACGAGGAACATTAGAGGGTCAAGTTTTCTTGGTTGTGATGAACTTAATTTTTACTGAGTACCTTAATATTTGATGATTTCTTGCACAAATTTCAGGTTGGTTTTTTGTATTTTTTCTTCACGTGTGAGAATCTTGATTAGCTCACTCAACTCCACAGGAGAAGATTTTTCCATCGACTTTTCGTATCTTACAAAGGATCTCTCGAGAACCGGAAATTAACTTCTAAGAATCAGGAGAGAAAATTGCTGCGAAGTCGACGCTCAGCTTTTTTCCTTTACGAAAATGTAATTAAGGAGATTTTTCTAAGAAGTGTAAGTCAGCTGAGGAAATTTGTCGGTGCGAGCGAAGGTTGTGTCTTGTTCATCATCGTCTCTCTCTCTCTCTTAATGCGGATTTATCAAGTCAGTCGGGATTGAAGGGCGACTTAACAAAGCTCATTTTTTTTGTTTTTCCCCCGCGTCGGGTACTAATTTCACAGGCGCCGAGCACCAACGTGATCACGTTCAGACCGATGGAAGTGGTCGAGATCCCGCTGGAAAGAACCGTGGAGCGGATAGAAGTCGACCTCGAACTCGCCAAAAGTCTCGTTCCAGTGGAGCTCCGCCCAGGCCTCAAGCTAGCCTTAGTTCCTCAAGCTGAACTCCATCGGTGGGACAACAAATTCACTCTCAAACCGCACGCGCAAATTTCCGACAGTCCCGCTTCTCCCGAAGAGGAAAGTGGTGAAGGTGAACTTGGCTCTCTATTCTCATCCTCATCGTCTTCATTTTTTTTTTTTTTCGTTTTCTTGATTTTTTTCTAGCGATTGCGATTTTTCGTGTTGTTGGTCCAAGATTTTTTTTTTAACCACGCGTGCGAAATCTTGTTACAACGAAATTTCAAGGACTCGGAAAACCTCGATCTTCATGAGTACACTGATTCCCCGCATAACGAAAAACTCGCTCAACGACGAATCCGTATTGCAAAAATTCTTGGGGAAAAATCATTACTCGCATTCTGAAATTATTTCGCAAAATTTTTTTTGGAAAACGCCCGAATTTGAAGGTGAACTTGGCTTTATTCTCACCGATTATTATTTGTTTTTCGACTTTTCATGTTGTTGATGGCAGAGTAAGATTTTCTATTTAAAAAAAAAAACGCGTATGAAATCTCGTCACAACGAAATTTCAGGGACTCGGAAAAGCTTGATGTACAGAATTGCACTGAGTCCCTGTATAAGGAAAAATCCGAATTACGAAAATTCTTGTGGAAAAAGTCATGCATCGCATAAAGAAATTATTTCTCTCAACAATTTTTTTTGGCAAAAACGCAAGATTCATCGTTCTTTTTTATTTTGTTGTCATTTTTCATGATGGTTAAGAGGTGAACTTTTTTAATCTCGATCACTTCCCCTACTTATCTTGTTACAACGAAATTTCAAGGACTCGGAAAACCTCGATCTTCATGAGTACACTGATTCCCCGCATAACGAAAAACTCGCTCAACGACGAATCCGTATTGCAAAAATTCTTGGGGAAAAATCATGACTCGCATTCTGAAATTATTTCGCAAAATTTTTTTGGAAAACGCCCGAATTTGAAGGTGAACTTGGCTTTATTCTCACCGATTATTATTTGTTTTTCGACTTTTCATGTTGTTGATGGCAGAGTAAGATTTTCTATTTAAAAAAAAACGCGTGTGAAATCTCGTTACAAAGAAATGTAAGGGACTCGGAAAAGCTTGATGTACAGAATTGCACTGAATCCCTGTATAAGGAAAAATCCGAATTTACGAAAACTCCTGTTGCAAAAATCATGCATCGCATTAAGAAATTATTTCTCTCAACAATTTTTTTTGGCAAAAACGCAAGATTCATCGTTCTTTTTTATTTTGTTGTCATTTTTCATGATGGTTAAGAGGTGAACTTTTTTTATCTCGATCACTTCCCCTACTTAAGAAATTATTTCTCTCAACAATTTTTTTTGGCAAAAACGCAAGATTCATCGTTCTTTTTTATTTTGTTGTCATTTTTCATGATGGTTAAGAGGTGAACTTTTTTAATCTCGATCACTTCCCCTACTCCAAATACTGAAAGTTAAGAATTAACTTTTCGAACACCCGTGAAATCTCTTCATAATCAAATTTCTGGGACGCGAAAAACCTTGTTGTACATAAGTAACCTGAGTCCCCGCATAATTCATAAACACTCACGCAACGAAAAATCCGCATTGCAGACATTCTTGGGACATAAATCATGACTCGTATTTCGAAATCAATGAAATTGGATAATTCTGATGGAAACACTGAAATCCACCAAAAAATCAATGGATAGAAATGAATCTGGAATACAATTTTTTGCATTTTTTCAATGGTTTTTCGGATGCTGGGACCTTTGAAGAAGTACTGTTATGACGGAATTTTATCAGTGGATCAATTTCATGCGTAGCGAGTAATTCATTTTTTCCGTGCGTTCCATTAGTTTTATTCACTCATTTCTTTTCCTGGTACAGTTTTTAGTTTCCTTTCCTTTTGAATTTCAAAAATTTGGTAATAATCAATTGTTACCACGTTTCCCGCTTCCTGAAATTCCATGGGGCGAAATAAACTCCAGGGTTCCAAGTACAGTACTCATGAAAATTCCATCATTTTTAACACCCCTTCTTTTTACGCCACATACAGTCGCAAAGGCACAAGGTAAAAGTGCCACATACTGCAACTTTTGAACTTACTCCTCCTTTACATTTTAGCAACCTTAAAGGCATAATGTTCCTAAATTAGGTAAAATACTTATTGAAAAGGAAAAAATGTAACCAGCAGCTTTTCGTTTGAAATTAACTTGATTTTTGTGTGGAAAAATGAAGTTTTGCACTTATTTATTTATCATATGGGGTACTATTCGGCGTAAAACAAATTTTATTGAAACCATACTCGCTCTTCTTTTGGACGAATTATTTGGTAAACAGAATTCGCGTTTAAAATTGACTTTCCTTTTTAATGCCTGCTGTATCGGTCAGTATGTAATGCAGGTAACGGCTTTTCGAATATTGAATGGATACGATAAAAAACATGCCATTGGCTAAATCAATGGACGCGTAAATCCTATCTGATTTTCTCTCGTCTTCATATTTATTGGCACATTTCCATCATTCTAGTAGTGGTTCTCCTCTCGTTTTTTTGTAATTTTTCGTTTCATTTTTACAAATTTTTTTGAATGATTTTAATGTTCATTTTTTGCGAAGGTTCAAAGACGCAGAAATCGAGGAAATGCCCGACTCAGGCGGAAACTGCTGCGTTTATGCCGTGCGGGAAATTGGACATCAACGGGTTTGTGAGGCACATCCAAGACGTGTTTGGCGCGCAGAACGTGAAAGTTGGCTATGAAAAGGACACCGTCATCCTGCTGGTGAGCACTTGACTGTTTTTCGATGAGAGGCTCGGTTTGTGTGGGAAGTAATTAAGTACA